TTTCTGGAAAAGAACCAACTAGAAACTACACTGTTTACAGATTCAGAGCAAAATTGGCACACTGTTTATGGATCGAAATCATAATAGGTCACACTGTTTCTTCAAAAGTACCAAATACTCAACTGTTTATTGATACTAAATATAACAGGGCACAACGTTTTGTGATTGTTACATGTATATATACACATATTCATAGAACTTAGTTGTTTTATGTTTTACCTTTATAAAACATGCAGTTAACAAAAAGTTTATACGATGCAAAACTAGTTATATACTTACAAAGATTGTTGTAGAGACATAGAAGTTCTTTGTTTGTTGATGTTTTCTTTTTTTTTTCTTTTGAGGTAGCAGAAAGAGTCAACAACCTGAGTTGATATAGATCAATTTGACATTAAACTGTGTAGGTCTTCTTTCAACACCATTATTCTTAAATAGTTGAAATATGTGGTTTTAGCAATCTAGTATACATCGCTACAGGAAATTGCATAAGATTTAGTTATGTTATATTTATTTAGTGCTTATAAAGTTATAGGAGTTTGTAATCAAACATTAGTTAAGAGTTTTTTGTAGTACTTACATGTTGTTTGTTAAGCACAATTGAATTATTTTACTTCTTTCATCTGGTTGCAGCATCTTATAGACTTGAAGTTGTGTCCAATTCACACCACTATATGTTTGATTTGTTGCTGGAAAGTCATCGGGTTGTGATGAAGTCTCGTCTTTTAAATCCAGATTGAATGACAGAGTGCTTGGTAGGATTATATTTTTGCATTTGGTTGTTGTGTTTCTAGATGTCGGCTTTTTGTATTGCACATCATTTTTCTTGAGAGCATTGTTGTGTTTCAGAGCTTGAATTTCTTTTTCTTGCTCTTTTTCTTTTGCCACTGATGAAAGAATTTTGTCTGGCAGTCCTGCAATTTTTTCATCATCCACTATGTCTTCTTGAATTTGTTCCTTGTTTGATTGTAAAACAGATTTGGCTCCTTTTTTTTTTTCTTTATCTTTATTGCTGTTGTTGGTTGCAGTGTTTGAGAGCTTTTCTTTTGCCTCTTTGTTTCGCATTTGCTGTTTTCTTTGGGTTCCGTCTTTCTCTTCTGCTGCCCTTGCCTTTTTTATGTGTATTTTGCATTGAGTCTCCAATGATCTCTTCTTTGGTACTGTTTTCAATATGTAGATGTATAGTTTCCTTCTTGGTGTATGATATTCTTTCTACTTCTCCAAGCATTTTCCTCTTTTGTGTACTTTTGGTTGTTTTCGATGTTACTTTGACACTAGTTCTTGTTGAGTTTGGCACTTCTATAGTTATTTTAAGTGAAACAATCTGCTAATATAGTTTTATTAGAATGCAACTTAGACATAAGGAAATAAAAATCAATATGAGTACCGCATTGTTTATAAAAGTAACAAAAATGAAGCACTGTATTTGTAATTGTAAAACATTATATCATTGGATAAATGTTTATTTTTTTCCTATAATTGAAATAGAGTACACATTATGCATAAATACTGTTAAAATCACTATATTTTTATACTAAATAACACAATGAAGCTAATTTGTGAACTATTTCTGAAAATGGAGTAGAATAACTCAATGTTTCTGCAACTAAAAAATGCAAAAGTTGTAGTGTATAATCACTGTCAAACATGCTCAATATTTTGGACATTTCTTTTCTCAATTGAACACTTTTTCAACCAAACGAAAAATATATTTTCTAGATCTTTAACATTTATTGTCAGTTAAGAAAATTTTGGGGATGAATTTTGCCCGAGCATTGTAAAAGTTTTTTTTTATTGTAGATAAATAACACTGATTAATTTCATGCATGTTATTTTGTATACGCTTGATTCAAATAGATCTAACTTATATACAATGAAATTATATTCTTAAATTATTTGAGAAAATTTGTAAGAATTTATTACCTCTGTTTGTTTCTAGGTATTTTTCGAAGTGAAGTCGCTCACGGAAGTTTCTCACCAGAGTTGAAAATCATATGATCTTATGAAATCGAAGAACGAGTATGGATGATTTTTGCTCAACGAAGCTGAAAAGTGTGTGGGTTTTCAGGTTTTGTGAGCATGAAAATGGTTCATTTTCATTCTTATGTTAGAATGATTTAACTCGCGGCCTAATATTAGTGTTATATTTTTCTTTTTTTTTGTTTGTTAATGATAATTTGAACATTTTTTTTTCCAGAAACAGCGAACACTTGAACATTTATTTGAACTTGAGGTTGCTCTTTTGTAGTGTTATCTTTTGGAACTTTTGGAACTTCTGTTTGATTTTCTTGTAGCTTATTCTTCAGGATTCCAATCTCATTGAGAAGTTGATTGATTTTTCTTGGAGTTTCGGTGTTTTTCAACTGCAATTGTAGGATTTCAGCATCCATATCACTGATTTTCTTCTTGTTCAACTCTTCTTGAAGCTTTTCGATGTCTCTTTTGAGTTGTCCAGTTGTTTGACCCGAAACTACATAATTTATTTGGAGATTGTCAATTGCATGCATCATTATATGTTTGAACACTAGATACCTCTTATATTCCATGCCCGTACAGTTTTGAAATTGTTTGAACATCTCATCAGTTGTTGTTGTGTCAATACCAAGGATGTGAATTTGATAATCTAGATCAAGCTTTCGCAATTCTTCATCGTACAACTTGTCGAATTGTTCTTGGGCTTCATTAATGGTGGTTCATCTGTTTTACTTCTTCTTTGATCAGGTTCCATCACATCTTTTTCAACATCAGTCTTTTTTCTTTTCCTTGTAACAGTCTTTTCTTTGCCTTTTATGGAAGACTCATCTCCTTCCTTAGTAGAAGGAATAGGATTAGCAATCTGCACATAGTTACACAAGTATTAATTATTAATTCAAATTATTAGTGTGATACTGTTTATGGATTTGCAAAATGAATTCTAATTACATTTGTAGTGTTACACTGCTTATGGACTCTGAAAAAAAACAATTTTTTCTGGATTTTAGTGCTAGAAAGTATGCAAATATCAATGTTTCTAGATTGTAAGTCAGTGTTTCTATTTGTTAAATAACACTATTTTTGGATTTGTAGTACTAAATAGCATGCAGATATCACTGTTTTTGTATTTGTAGTATTAGAGAGTATGCACTGTTTCTAGAACTTCAAAGCTGAACCGTTTGTCAAAATGACTTTGTTTACTGGTCCTTACCTTAATATCTTCAACCTGGCCATCTTGTTCAACACTAGTCCTTTTTTTTTTTTTTTTTGCTGCCTTGCCTATGCCTTTTTTTGGAAGATTCATCTCATTTCTCAATAGAAGGAATAGGATCAACATTCTGCACATAGTTACACAACTATTAATCATTTATTCAAATTATTATTGTGATACTGTTTATTGATTTTGCAAAATAAATGTTAATTACATTTGTAATGTTACACTATTTATGAACTGTAAAAAAATTTGTTTCTGGATTTTATATTGTTAGAAAAGTATGTAGATATAAAAGTTTTTGGATTGTAAGTCACTGTTTCTCTTTTATTAAATAATATTGTTTCTGGATCTGTAGTACTTATTCATGCAGATATCATTGTTTTTGTATTTGTACTATTAGAGAGTATGCACTGTTTCTAATACTTCAAAGTTGGATTGTTTATAGACTTTAAGCTATAAGCATTTGTCAAAATGACTTTGTTTGGTACCTCAATATCTTCACCTTAGTCACCAGTTTTCTTTCTTTTCTTTGGGGTTGTCTTTCTTATGCCTTTTTTGGAATACTCCTATCATTTTTCAGTAGGAAGAATAGAACCAACAATATGCATATAGTCACACATTTGGACTATTTATAGTTTTTTGAATCTTGAATTGTTTCTAGAACTGTAAACTCTAAGCATTTTGTGAAAATGACTTTGATTACTGGTCATTACCTCCATATCTTCAACTTTGACATCTCTAATTGCTTGGTGTATCATTGTTGTGTCTCATCTTCCTATTGCCCGAACCATGCTTTCTTGGCCTTTTATCGTCTCAACAAGGTTTGTATTAAGACATATCCAATACTATACAAATTAGGAAAGTGAGTATTTATTATTTGAGATTTATAAAAAAAAAAATCATGCTTTTAAAATATAATTATGATATTTTTACCAAAATGAGAACAATGCAACCGCTAGTTGTTGATTCCTTTACTTCTTCTCTCTTATTGGTTTGTGATCTACACTCCAAACTTTCTATATTAGGAAAGAAAAATACACTTGTGAGGAGTGTAGAATGAGATTTTTGGAGTGTCAATAACACTTCCCTACTTATATATTAATCCATAAAGTTTTTCATACAGCATTCCCTTACAATATCCCTCGACGCGTTTGCATGTTCTGAAAGCGTTGCATGACAACATCATTACCAATACCATCAAACATCTCCCTCTCTATAAAAATAACCATGTTATCATTCATCCATTGATCTCCCATCCAATTTCTCAATCGATTCTTCAGAAATTTCATGGCCGAAAATGCTCTTTCAACGGTTGCAGTAGCAACTAATGTCACAAGCAAGTAAACCAGCGAATACACCTTGTGTTTTTTGCATTGAACCATTTTTTTGCAAGATCTATAATCTCTTTTAAACCTGAAAACTCAATGTTAGACCGCATATCCACAATGTAAGTCTCAAGTTGAATCTTAAGTATCACCAACTCATTCATAGAAAAGTTCTTAGGATAAAATTGGGCAAGACGCAATAGCTTTTGGCTATCAAAAGTAGAGAAGGAGTCGGCTGGACATAAACATGCCAAACGAAGTAACTCAATGTTGGTCTCATTAAAATGATTATTTAGTTCTTGAAGCTGCTAATCCAAAATAACATAAAATATCCTAACACAATAATGATGCATATTTGTGACTCTTGTGCTTTTCGTTGCCCTCACATTTGAGAAAGAAACATATCATCCATATTAGGCACATCAATATCATGTTTAGGACAAAATTTAGAGTCTTCACTAAGTAAAGAATCAAAAACCATTTTTTTCTCATTATCTCCGACCTTTGCTTACAAACTCCACCAACTTCATGGCATTTACAATATCATGATCCTTCCTTTGCAATGCTTGTGACAATTCATTGGTTATTCCTAGTATATATTTCATCAAGTGTAGATTAAACACAAAATCAAATGATTGCATGGAACATCTTTGTTGAGAGCTTAATCCATCATCTGCTTTTACTTCAAGTACATCAAGTATGGATGAGAACATAGTCATTATACTTACTAAAGTACCAAAGTGTGAACCCCAACTTGTTTCTCCAGCACGTTTTAAAGTAGTTTCTTGATTTTTGCCTTTCCCACTTGTAAACTCACTACTGTTTAGTGCTTCAATAACTGCAATAGATTGCTTCTCTCGAAGAAGATCACAACGCTTCGATGAAGCTCCAACAACATTTACCAAAATAATAACCATACTAAAAAGATACTCAATTTGGATGTTCTTCTTTGCCATAGCTACAAGAGCTAATTGAAGTTGATGTGCAAAGCAATGAATATAATAGGCACAACCACTTTCTTTCATAATAAGAGCTTTAAGACCATTGAACTCACCTTGCATATTGTTGGCCCCATCGTAACCTTGCCCACACAACCTAGAGATGCTCAATTTATGCCTAGAAAATACCTCATCAGTGGTTTCCTTGAGTGAGAGAGCAGTGATGCAAGTAACATGCCTAATGTCAATAAAACGCTCAACGACATGCCCATTCTTGTCCACATAGCACAATACAATAGCCATTTGTTTCTTCGTTGATACGTCGCAAGATTCATCAATCAAAATAGAGAACAATGAAGTGCTAATGTCTTTAATAATAGCCTTGATGGTCTCAATTGCACAAGCATTTACAATGTCTTTTTGAATATCTGGTGATGTCAATTTGTGATTCTCCGGAGCATTTTTCAAAGTAACGGCTTTCGCATCCTCATTATGGTCGGCAAGAAATTGTAGAAGCTCAAGAAAGTTTCCATGGTTGCTTGAATGTTCAGATTCATCATTACCAGGAAATGCAAGTCCTTGTCTCAAAAGAAATCGACAACAATTGATTGATGCATTCAACCGAGCTTTATATTGAATTCGAGCTTCATCATGAGTTTTAAAGAAAAAAGATTGGATATGTTGCTTTTGACTCCTTAAAGCTTCAAAATTACTCCATGCTTGATTGTGTGCACTATTGACCCCTCCAATATGAGTTAGTAGTTTTTATTTCTTCTTCTAGTTAGAAAATCCTTCGCCAACAAAGAAATCACCACCTGCTTGTTCTCCAATGTTTGATTTAAAAATGTAGCAACACAGATAAAAGGCAACATCTTTTTCTACACTATATTCCAACCAAGCATGGTTGAATCGTCTTTGCGTGTCTCCATATTTCTTGTAAGGAAATTATGGGTTTTAGGTTGTTGAGGACCAGCTAGCACATACGCTCTTCGCACTTGATCTCGAATATTAACATTGTAATCCAAAATTCGAATTTGCTTACCAGGATCTGATGGAAGATATGATAAAATAAATTATATACTATCTTGTCCCTGAGTATCATTATTTTTCTCAATAACTGGGGATGGCGGCGCTGATATTTTTATGTTCCAGTCTCCAAAGTCAGTCATATTGATACCAATAACATATAAGGTTCATACGTAATTTGTAGAATTTATAGAATAAGAATCTCAAAATTAGAAAGCTAAATTTTAAATTGTAATGCCAAAAAATGAATTAATAAAGTAAAATCATATAATAAAATACCTTGTGCAGTTGTGTAACACAAATCTAACTAATAAAATTTAGACTCTTAATCCTAGAGTAGACTGTACTAATATGCCTAATAACTAATCCAACCAACAATTCAATTAACCAATACCAATAAGCATACAACTTATTCAACAAATAAAAATTTAATTCAACTATTCATATGAATAAATGTATACCCATATTCATAGAATTCATAATTTCAGAATTTCATTCATCAATAATCATAGAATTCATATACGAAACAATAATTTCATAATTTCATATATCATATATGAATTCATAATTTCATAATTTCATTCATCAATAATCATAGAATTCATATCAATAACCAATAACCAATAACCATATTAGTGCATTACCATATGATTCTATACCAATTAAACAAAAATTAGTGCATTACCATATGATTCTATACCAATTAAACAAAAATTCGTCTTAAATAATTAATTAGGGTTAGGGATTATAGATTTAGGAATTAAAAAAATTACCTAAACATATATATGTCGGCTAGAGAGTGGCTGGCTGCTGGCCTAGCTTTATTGCATTGGCTGGGATTCTATATGCAGCGCTTCCCTACCCTCTATTGCGCCACCAACAAATCCCTCATAACGCAATTCCAAACCCAGATTTACCACATGCACACCAAAACTTCTCATGCAACCATTTATTTCAAAATCTTTCTTTGATTACTTTGATTTGGTTTTTGACTTGCAGGTTACATTTATTTCAAAACCTTTCTTTGATTACTTTGATTTGATTTGGTTTTGATTACTTTGAATTTTAGATTTTTCTCTATTAATCTGACTTTGGGTAATATCATCGGCATTCTATAAGATGTTCTATATTTTAGGTTATGGAACTGAATTTGGAGGTTTTGACGGGTTATTTTTCTGGAAGGGGGATTATGAGTTTGTTTCTAGGTTTCTTTTTTAACTATGTTTCTTGCTTGACTATGCATATACAGATTTTGGGTTTTTTTCACTGAGTAAAGGTATGCAAGCTTGAAATCAATATGCTATTTCAATGCATTCTCTGTTTTTTTTTTTTTCTAAATGAAAATATTGAAATTGCTCAAATAAATCTGTCCTATCAAGCTATAACTTAAATCAATCTATGCATCAATTGTTTTGGAAGGATTTATCACAAGCGAGCACACACCTCACTAGTCTCTAGCAACAAATAACTGTATATATGTGTGGTAATGACCTGACCTATAAAAAAAAAAGAACTAACATTTAATAACCTTAGCATAGAAACTTGAAAAAAATTCTTCTTTTTTGTCCACATTCTGTTTCCTTGTGAGATTTGAGTTATTCATTGCTTAAGCTATCATTTTGCATAACTTTAAAATTTGGATTTTGCTATGATCACCTAACTTGTAGAAATTACAGATCAACTTTTTTTGTTTTGTTTCGGGGCCTTCTGCATTTGGGCAATTTGGATGTTTGATTAATCCATATTGTTATTAATTTTCAGTTACCTGTTAATATTTGGTAGTAGTTTTTGTTAATCCAGATTTGTTGATTTTATATTTGGTAGTAGTTTTTGTGAATATCAATTTACCCTTCATTGGTAGTGATATCAATTTGCCTTTCAATGGTAGTGATGATGATTTGGATATGTAAGTTGTAGCCTTAATTAATGTCAATGGAAATCTACTTATGCAGGTTGTCTTAACAACTTAAGACATGGATGATTAATTTAGTTAAGTGACTGTCTCGTATCCAAATTGTTGTGATTTTGGATCATTGAATTGATCGAAGGAAGTAAGGAAATAGAAACAATTTGTTGTTGTTTTTCAAGTTCTGTCAAGTATATTGGTAATCTTGTTTATTTATAGTTTGTAAAAGAAATTGTTTATTTTGTATTATGCAGATGTCCTCAAAGATTTGGAAGATGGAGATCAGCAAACAGTTGGCTTGCTGAAGTATAACATCAACAAGAGACTGCACAATAAGATATAAGACTCGAATCCATCTCATTTGACTAGCTCTTGGCTGAAAGGTACTAACTTTGGTCATGATGGTGTACTAAATTTATATCAATTTTGACTTTAGATATTTCTTGTTTTTCTATCACTTACTAGGTTATATATTTTGGTCCTACAGATTTGAGAATTAGCCCGGCACTTCTTAAGGAATTGCTTGTTTTTTTGTTGGTATGATGCTCTTTTGTGAACAAATTGGATGCTCTATGGGCAAGGGACATGGAGGATGAGCTTGGGAGATTGCTTTTTTGAGGGTGATGCTGCTTTGTAGTCATGATTAGTTTCCTCTGTCAACTTTAGGATGTGCATCAATTGTAAAGAGGAACAAAACATTTTTTGTTTGTGTTAAAACTTCCAATTGTACTGTAATTGACAATTTCTACTAATTAATTTAAGTATTTGGAGTTTAATGTGTTTGTGGTGATTGTTGTTTCTTTCTATTGTGTTTCTTACAATATTAATTTAGATGTTATGAAGTTAGGTTTGTCTAAAATGAATTGCTAAAAATAAAAATAAATGTAAATTACAGCTGCAAAATTAGTAATAATTGTTGATGATAGTCTTTTTTTACGATGTACAACGTGTGCCGTGATTGCTTTTACATTATTACGACACTCAACAAGCGCCGTATCAAATATAAATTACGGCACACATGTATGCCGTAATTTCTTTTGCAGTATTACGACAGTTCATTTTTTTTTTTTTTTTGGAAAAACCTTACGACAGTTCATTAACGTTGTATCTTAAGGCACGCAAGGCACACCTTAAAGAGCATTTACGACATGTTTTGCTTAAATTATTCACGGCTACTAGAGAACGTCAGATTTGACAAAACATCTTTTATGACAAGGGCTTTTTACTACTTGGGGACTTACGCCGTGAATAACTATTTACGGCGCTCTATGTGCGCCGCAAAAGACCAATTATGTTGTAGTCCTCCTAGTGGGTTGCGCGGGGTGGTGGAGAAGTCCTTATGTCTATGGATGTGCAGGCAACATGTTCTAAACGAGGAAGAAGAAGAGGTTTTAATTCTTTTTTTATTTAAACGATCTAATCAAAACAATGTTGTTTTGAGTCAGGTCAAATAAAAAAAAAATAGAAAAAGCACTCTCTCTTTCCTACTTTCTACAAACCTGAGAATCCCTTATGCCTTTCCTAATGTTTAAGTCCGAAATTAATTTCACAAACCCAGAGGTTCCAGATCCAATATGCAAGCTTCCCAATCCCTCATCCCACCAGTCACCACCACCTCCCTCCAATACCACTTGTCGTGCCGCCGCCTAATTCAATTTTCTTCCAAGTGTATGTAAGTTGTTTAATCTAAAATCCTAGTCCCAATTTATAATATAGATGTTAACCATTTAAATTGATGTATATACGTGTGATGTGAACCAATTTTATCTTTGGAAAGTCATAATTGGGTTATGATGTTGATGAGCATTTGTTGGTTCTGGCTTATGTGAGCTTAATCTTGATTCATTCATATGAACCAAATTTAGTAGAAAATAGAGATGTGAAACAAATTCAATAGAAATTGATGATGTTTAGAAAGATGATCGATGTTAGAACTTTTGGAACTTCTACATTAGGGTCACCGGACACTAAAATCCTGAATCCGCCACTGCATTTTGAGGTGTTGCAAAGGCACATTCAGTCGCAGTACAACAAAATCTTATACAAAGGAGGATGAGAGTGGAGATTTCGGTAAGCTTGTGGAGCGAGCACATGTTTATCTCTTTTACAACTATCAAATGCGAGGGCCTGTTTATTTGTGTAAAGTATCATTCTTCGTAGGGGTGCAAACGTGAAATAGGACTTTTTGTGGGATAGTGGGTAGTAGGTATTTTTTTTCCTATTCGAATATGCCTTTGGTGACTAGGAAAGAGGAAGACACTCAATCGTAGTTTTAAGTGGCAGACTAATTCTCCTCCCTACATAGCCTCGTTACCATATGAGGCGGTAGCGTACATTTTACTTCGAATTAAACAGTATATCAAAGCAAAGCCGACGGCCGCAAGAATGCATATGCGGAAGTTCAAAACTGGATTGGGAGTTCCAAACCTTTGCTTGCTTTCCAATTGACCAACACATTGGGGTTCTAAACTTCAGTATTTGATTTGCATTAGTATTGTTTTGAGGATGGTTGCGATTGTTGTAAATTCTAAAGTTGGTGGGTCACAACCACAACCATCCTTAATATTTCAGTGTAACCTATGGTGGGTAATTACATGTAACTTATGACGACCTTAAGAATTTACAAGCCTTTGCTTGTTGTAACATAGGTTTCGAGGATGCTTGTGATTGTTGTAAATTCTCAAGTCCAGTATCATATTAGACCCGAAGTTCTAATTTGAATCACCATCTTGACCATCAAATAATGATTGTATTAAATACACATACTCATATAAATTATATCTAACAAGCAAATATATTTATTAGTATATTACCGAATCAAATTATTTCGTGTGTATTGTTATACACAAGGTCTTTAGCCATCACTTGGGGTGGTCCTCCATACTGGGTTTGGAATTGTTATAAGGAGCCTGACGAATTTCTCAAGCGGAATTGAACTCGTGTCTTCTGGGCACCTTTTTATATATGAAAAAAGAGAATTTGTATGTCTTTGATTCACAGTGAGGACAACATTGAGGTAGCCAAACTAACGGGTGTACGCAACCTAGATGTCCAAGGACAGTTCAAGGTGTCAGAGCTCTCATCAGCAGTTGTTTATGAGATTGCCTACATAGTTAAATTAACAAATGGAGCATCTGGATGGGACTCCCTATTACACTGAAAATCAGACTCCCAGGGCAGGGCGGAACAGAAGAGAAGCACCAATATAGTCTACTCGAGAAGCTGAGAGGAGTGTGGATAGAGATTATTGGAGGCAGTTTTCAGTTCATGACACGCCCTCGAAATGACCTACTGTTGAATCACAAATGAAAGCTTTAGCTAAAATTCCTAAATCATAAGAATTATGATAATGTACGTGTCACAATTGTTTACTTGCATTTTTCTTGCTTATCTAGAAAAGGAGCCAGTAAACATACCCACAAAAGTTCAGAATTATTCTGGTCTACATGAAGCTGATGAAGAACTTAACCACCGTAACCACTTCCTTCACAGGCTCACCACCCTGCAGTATAATTGACAATAAATCTTCCTTGGCTGGCAACCGACAAAGAGGAGCATACTTTTAACACTATAATGCTACGATACATTACTTTTCTAAAAGATGGAAAAAGAAAGAAAGTACAACATAATGAGGAATTACATACCTTTAATACCTCAGATGCAAAATTCACATTGCTGGAGTATCCTGCTAACATGTATGATTGCTGTCATTCAACATAATTACATCTGATCTGCAAGTATATGAATATGTAGTTGAGAGGCACCAAACTGCATAAACAAACACCTTAAGGTGAGATTAATATGAAAACAAAACAAAACAAAATGGCAACCTACGGATTAAATCCTACATGTTTGATCTGTTAAGAACACCTACCGAAAGATTTGTACATGGAGGCACATAAACTCATTTAGATCCCCGAGAACCAATTCTCATGAAGTTATGATTGGCTTATCAAGCCACCGGATGGAAAATTGACTTCACGTTGTAGTGCTAACCTACCTGTACTGACTGACAAATCACTTGCGAGGAAAACAAAGATGATGTTCTTCCCTATCTTTTTATGTCTTTAAGATCCACCTCTTGGTCTCGAGACATAAGATCGTTAACCATTGACTGCAAAATAAGTGTAGCCTCAGATTCTCTTCCTTGATGTAAGTAATCATCTATTATACGCGAGAATTTGACAGCAGTTTGGAATTCCCGATCCTTCAAGTTAAAAGGGATGATGCTCTTCCATTCCTTGGATCTTCCTTCCAAACAAATACCATGCAGCAGACCAGCAAACGAAACAGAATCTAGAAGGATGCCATTATTAACATACTTTTCACACAGCTGTAATGCAGTTTTAACCATCCCATGATGGCAAAGGCAAATGATAATGGAATTATAAACAGCAACCTTTTGAAACCATCCATCTGATATCATCCTTCTGAAAACCCCCAGAAAAATAGATTTTTCATTTTGTTGGGACTCGTTGACTTCCTTCGGAATCGCACCAGGTTCATTGTTTGTGAACCCATTTACCAGATAATGGAAGGTGACGTCATTAGGAATGCACTTCTTCTTCAGCATTAGTTCAAAAAAGGAGGCGGCATTTGCAAGGTTACCTTCCTTGCAAAATGTTCCAATAAGTATGCTATATGTGACTACATTTGGCTCCAAGCCACAGGATTTCATCTCTTTGAAAGTTTTTACAGCTCCGCAGGAATCTCCCTTGTGGCAAAACCCATAGATCAAGGAGGTGTATGTGACCACATTTGGCTTGCATCCCTGTTTGACCATCAGTTCAAAGAAACTTAGAGCAGCATCCAAGTTATGCTGCTTGACATACCCATCAATAATTGTAGAATACGTGAACCCATCAGGACGATGATGCACTTTCCGCATTTTCTCAAAGCAAGAAAGTGCATCCTTCATCATTCCAAATTTGCAGAAACCCTTAATCATAGCATTGTACCCCACAACACCGGGGTTTAGACCCTTTTCAATAGTTAACCCAAATATATTTTTTGCTTCCTCAAGGTCACCATTTCTGATTAACCCGTCCACCAGAGTGGCATAAACATATGCATCTGGTGGTACATTTTGGTCAAGCATCTGACCAAGCAGCAACTTGGCAGTAGGAAGCCTCCCTTTCTTACAAAGGCCACTCATCAAAACATTGTAAATGTGAGCATCAGGGACTACTCCACTTTCCATCATTCTGTCCTGAACTGCCATTGCAACATCGACTTCCTCAGAAACAACAAGTCCATGGATGAGAGCTCCATAAGAAACCAGATCAGGTTTGTATCCTCTTTCTGTAATCTTAGTAAACAAATCCAAGGCCCTTCTGTGCTCCCGTTGTCTGAAATAAGTGTGAAAAAGAGGAGTATAACTAAATTTATTTGGCACCAATCCTCTCTCCATCGCGTGGTTTATAAACTGTTCAGCTTCCTTAACCTTCCCACCCTTGCATGAATTATGAATCAAAATATTGTAGGTTGTAATATCTGGCTCACAACCACTCTCAATCATCTGCTTTACTGTCTCCACTCCTTTAACCAAGCTACCATGCTTACATCTAGCATCAACAATATTATTACGTACTTGAACATTAATATGCAAGCCTCTCTCCTTCATTTCCATGAAAAGCCGATCAATCGCTTTAAACTTTCCTTCTTTGCAATACCCATTTATCATAGCTCCATAAGTTTCCAGAGTGGGCAAAAACCCCTTCGATTTCAACTCTTTAAAAATCACATTAGCACTTTCGACATCACCTTTTTTGCAATATCCGTCAATAAGCGTATTGTAAAAAACAACATTTGGTACACAACTCTTTCCCCACCTATCCACAATTAATTTTCTACCTTCCTCAACCCTCCCTTCCTTACACAACCCCTTCACCATTATACAAGTACTATAGTTATCCATACACAAATGCTCACGGCCACCTCTCTCAGCCATTTCGTCATACACCCGGCGTGCAACGTCAACTCTCCTACTTTTCACAAGAACATTTAACAACGAATTACACGCGAAAACACTCGGAACTACACCATACACCTTAACCACAATATCATACAAGTCAAGAGCTTTACCAACCATCCCAGAGTCCGCATAAGCTCTAATTACAAAGCTCAACGCATCATGGGTCGGCTTTACTTCTTCCAATTTCACCTTATCCATCACCAAATCGATCTCCGAAAACACCCGAAACCTCGCCAGAAGCTTTAACAGCGAAGAATACGCAGACCCATCTGGAGAGCAGCAGTAGGATCGCTTGAATGCCCAGTCAAAGAACTTCAAACCCAATTCTACATCGTGCACTCGGTCCAAAACGAAATGGGCAACGTCGGAAACAAGCATTTCGGTTTCGGAGAATTGGGTTTCGAGAGATTGCTCCCAATGATGTTGGGTTCTGAGGATTTGGATGGTGTCATTGACGAGTCTCTTGACGTGGGGAGGTGGTGGAGAAGAAGAAGAAGAAGAAGAAGAAGAAGTGGGCTTTCGGTTTTGAAGGGGTTTGATGCGAGAGAGAAGGGTTTTAGACATGTGAGAGTGTGAAGAGGTTTTGGATTTCTTGAGGCTTTCTGTGAGCGAGTTTTCAGAGGTTTGAAGGTGACGCAGCTCTTGGATTGGAATTACAGTCGCTGCACGCTTTCGCTTCAACAAAAAGGCGCTAAACTTAATTTTCATTTCAAATACTAATGCTCTCGGATATCAAAAGTCTCCACGACATTCCGTATGAGTTCATAATTTTATTAGCGTTTCGATCTAATAATATAATGTTACGTGAAAGTGTTTTTTCTAAAGAATATTGTATTATTGGATTAACATGTCATGATGATTTTATTTTATATAAATTATTTTTAACACGACATTTGTATCTCAAATGAAGTTCATTTGTCACGCCAGTAGCATGGTCGAATACCAAATATTGAGTCTTCGACAAGCATATCAACCATCCGCACTTGCATAGCTGTTAATAATATGTAGCATGCTTGTAAGTGAATCTATGTGAAGAGTGTGTACTAGCAGCCTATTGAGCGGTTGGATACACATGTTCAGGGTCGCCTAACCGAGAATACATCTCATTGGCAAACCTTTAACTTCCGAATTCTTTTGTCCAAGTATTGTCTAAGTTAAAAAAATGACACGTGTTTATAAAACACGTGCTATGTTTTAACTGGACAATTCCTTCCATGCAGCTTGCAATATGGGATGGAAGTCCACACCCAATCGGTTTCCGACAACTAAAAAACACAACTACGTTTAGCATATGGACATAGATCTTAGATGCTTCTTCAAGCAGTTCTGAGTACTGATTCTTCAAGAACTTCAGTATGCTTTTTTAAGAAGCACTTGGTTTTTTAATAAAAACTTCCAACATTTTTTTTAAACATATGATATTATTTAAATTAAGGATATTAAAGTGGATTAAGTCTCCCAATGGGTTAGCCATAATAATTTGGTTCGCATTTGCATTTGCGAGAATCGAACCTAAAACCTCTCACTTACAAGTGAAGATCAATACTACTAGACCATAATGCTTATGAGTTATGAAATTCCAAACAAGCCAACATTCTCAAAGAATTTATTCCCCAAACCGAACAGACAGAGATATAAATGGTAAATTTTGGATAGGCAGAACACTTGGTGAGAATTCAGTGTGATAACTTTAGAGCAATCAAACAATCTTCTCATCTTCTCTGACACTCAAATTCCAGGAGTTGAAGAGAGATCTACGATTTCATGCCAAGCATACAAGCGTAATAACTTCGGAAGGACAAGATCCAGCTCATGATGCAGCAACACCTCCTCCTCTTCAGACTTTCAACTTCTATTTCTTTTCCCCGGAATGCACCGAATCAAGTGTAATGAATCGACGCCCTGCCTGCTGGGCTCTGTTCCCCCTTGTTGCCTAATGCCATGATTTTAATCAGATACATAATCCACTCTACCCAGAATATGAAAAAGAGAGATTATATTTACACATCCCAAATTACTTCTCTCACGCTTTTAATTTTTTACTATTTTGTACACACTAAATAGAAAAATATTAAAAAATTAAAAAGGTGTGGGAGAAATAATTTGGGGTGTGTGAATATAATCTCCCAAAAAACTCATCTACCAATCATTTCGCTAACTGTTGCACATGTATCACCAATTCTCAATCAAATGATCCACTCAATCATAGACATACACACAACAAACGAAAGCATATGTACATGTACACTCACCATCAAATCAAAAACAAAAATGAAAACCTGTACATTAGATTTATTAACCTTACCCGAAGAAACTGTTATGCACCTCGAGAGGCAGAGTGGCAGATGATTGGATTTTCTGTAATAAAATCATAGCAAATACATAATTTGATTATATTTTGGGAGAGAATAAAATGATAGTAACAAATCGGAATTCATGTACAAGAAAAGTCTAGCCAATTAGCCATGTGAGTTATTTCCTATCGACTCCTTTTTATAAAAAGATTTTGACGCTTTCATGTCCAGCTAATCCACAATATACAATGTGCACCATAGTAAAAGCTTTCTCAACACAAAGTTTGGAATTTCAATTGATATTTAAATGTTCTGGGGTGATGTCTCGGTGCCAGACCCAAACATGGAAATGGCCTTCTATAGCAGGGGGAGGGAAGAGAAAAAGGTTTTCCTTCGCATTTGTGTTAATTTTTTAAAGGGGTTAGAGAAATATACACACTACGAACAGGGCTTAGAGAAATATCTGTGTATCAAACACGTTGTACTCAAGTTAAGGCAAACACTACCAGTCCAAGAAATATAAAACACGTAAAGGCAAATACTAGCTGTAAGGCGAACTCACACTGTATGAAAACCATGCGTCGACGTGCTAAGAAGGATATGCAGATATATATCAAGTAAACATACACAACAATAAAATCAGCATGCAGATATACACAAGTGGGTAAGCAACATTTGAGCCAGCATTTTTTCATTAGTGTGTGAATAGCATATCCTATTATCTATCTTCCAAATTTAGGGTATTCTCAAGCCACTCCCCGGCCACATCAGATAAATTTTCGTTTTACCTTCCATCCATTCAGCATGTACTATGTTAGTCATCAAAAGATTTTTTTTTCTTGTGCATTCTGCAGTGTAATATAAACCCTGTATGTTTCTAATCTTGTGGTTCATTAAGAGCTTGAGAAAATGGTCAAGAAGACGTGGCAAGTTTGGGACATAAGAACAACACTTACAATTTCCCAGATGTTAGTAGTTCAAAACCACCAAAGCTTCGAGTTAAGATCAACTAATGGTTGAGCACCTAAACAACAACAACAAAGCCTTATCCACTAAGTGGGGTCGGCTATCTGAATCCTAGAACGCCACTGCGCTCGGTTTGTAATGGTTGAGCACCTAACTAAATAAATTATCCTATGGCAAATCTTATATCCTTATGTGTTACTCAGAAGCTGCATAAGTTATAGGCCTTAATATAATCAACAGCATCTGATAATATATGTAAAATTAATTATTAAAATACTTGTTTCATCAAAATTAAATATTTTAAATTACCCATACAAGCATTTTATGACATCTAATGGGGATGACTTTGCCATTTTCCCTGACCATTCTGTTCTTCACCATCAAATCTGAAAGCATTGAACAAACAATCAAAATCATAGACGCTAATTACCCAACAGTAGGCAAAAAGGGCTAACTACAGCATTAGAGGAGAGCCATTGCATAATGAACTTACAACAATTTTGGGTGACAGCAGTCCATTCAAAGCTCCATTCAACTGAGGTGGTAATACAAATTATTGAACATTGAAGAACCAGGATGTCACTTTCATATGATTAAAAAAATCGTGTCAATTGCTCCGCAGATTCACAAATGAGTAGGTGAAAAGAATACTAGCTCTTGTTGAGCTGTCCAGTTACATAATCAACCACTTTTCAGTTTTCCCGTCCACCATCTTATTTCAACTCTTGGTCAGTATGGTTTGCAAAACACCCAATTGTTTCGTAGAAAATGGAGGCGCCCTTTTTCGAACTAACATCATGATTGCCTTAGCCTTACCAAGCTGGTTTGCCTTCTTTAGGCCTTCAAGCAATGTACGAATGGTATCCACATTCGGAAACCAATTCTTTTGCATGCAATCTTTACACATAGTATATGCCAAATCAAAATCTCCTCCTTTACAAAGATAATGAATCATGGTCTGATATATTTTGACATTGGGCTTGTATCCCTTTCCATGTAGAGCAGAATACACCCTTTTGGCCATTTCAAGATACCCCGCCTGACAAAAACCTTTGATGACCAAATTATATGTAACCTCATCGGGTGTTATCTCAATATTCTGCATCAAACCCATCAATCTATTCGCTTCCCAGGCTCGTCTCCTATATACCAGATACTGGATTCTAACATTGAAAGTCGCAAGATTAGGCAAACAGCCCTTCAATATCATAAGATTCCACAAACCATTACCAATTTCCCACCGGTTGTCCTTATAAAATGCTGACATCAGTGTTGTGTATGTAATGACGTCTGGCTTTATCCCCAACTTCTCCATCTGTACCATGATCTGATATGCTTTAACCAAAATACCCATTTCGCAAAAAGCCTTTATGACAATATTGACCGAATATATATCCAGTTCAATGTCAAACTTCTCCGGAATCTCACTCAAAAATGCCTCTAGGGCTCCTAAATCACGGGTTTGAGTCAGAACCTTGAGTGCAGCGTTGAAAGATTTAACAGTCCTAGAACAACCATATAAATGCATATCACAAAAAGTATCAATAGCATGTTTAGTCATCCCAGCCTTACCATACAATGTTATAATCCTCATTATAAACCCTTCTCGCCGACCTTGGGGAAGGCTCTTCTGATGCTCAAGCAAATGTTCAATGTAATCAAACCGGTGAGCTCCAGCAAGTCGAGACACCATGTCGTCAAATGCAAACCGGTTCTCAATGACAAGCCTATTGTGCGCGTTGGCCTTAAACAAATGAAACAGCTTTTCCGGGTCTCTCTCAGCTTTAAGCTTAACCAGGGCAGGCTCTTCTAATGGTTTCGTATTCAAAACGCGATTGGACGCAGCTGCAGGGCAATCATTCGAGGTTATGGCAATGGCGGCATTACAGAATCTGCGACTGGTTCGCAGAGAGAGCATGTTTCAGGAGTTTCCCAATATTAATGCACATCCATCCATCAACATCGGCATTCTACACAAACCATTACGAATAAATATCGAAAACCCACTTTAAAAATTGAGGAACCCAGAAATACAAACGCCCAAAAGAACCAGAAATCACAGACTTTATCATATATTGTTCAAATTTTCAGAAACTGGAACACACCCATTTGCTGAAATTGAAGGGTTTAGGCACCCACCTGAAAGGAGCTTCAATGCCCGCGTGCAAAAGCAAAAACCCAGAAACGCAAACACCATCAATGAATCGTATATCCTCTCTAATCAAATTAAATTACCAGAAGGTTAGAGAGTGAGAGAGGGAGGAGGTTTTAGCATTGGGGATCTGAGGGGGACGTTATTTGGTTAAGTGATTAGAGTTGGCTGGGATTCTCTGTGGGGGTTTAGGTTTTTCTATAGGTTGGGTTTTCTTTGTGTTGTGCTTGTGCACTGTGATGGTACAGCGTGCGGGTCCATGGTAAGGGAGCGTGGACTGCTCAAGCACATTTTTGGTGATTGGTTGCTGGGACAGCTAAATTAAAATTATTATTGGGAACAAAGAAAAATGAGAAAAATAGAAAAATAAGAAAAATAATTTCCCTATATCTGACATCGTGACAAGACTTGTAAGAAGCCGATATGCCTAATGGTTAGAATCTTTCTTTTTAACCTATTACATTTCAGATTCAAACTCTCTTTCTCAATTTTTAGTGTTGATTAATGTGGAATCACGCTTGCATTCAAAGAAATATTATGACATGAATCCTTCAAAAATATAAATTGTTCATAGATGGGAAGAATGTTGTTGGTAAAAGCATTGTCCATCCATCTTATTGATCACTCATTGATCTCGATTTCTCGATGACGTGTTCATCCATAATTACAAATCCTCGTTACATAAACAAAACATCATGTGAGGAGATCAGTGATAGAAATAACACATGGACGTCCAGATGAAACAAAAGAGTGCGAAAATCCATTTTCAAAATAAAATATTTAATGAGATTGGTGGTACCTATTTTAGGTAGGAGGGCAACTGGATACTCGATAGTCAAGTACATGTTTTAAAATACTTTCAATGTGGCATTGGAAAATTGGAACATACAAATTCATGTGTTATAACGTAAACGGATGGTGGACTTGTAAACATTGTGGATTAGTTACATCACTTGATGGTGCTAAAATGTTACCGAAATTTTACTTAAAGCCAAATTTTAGTTTAGCAAAGGAGAAAATTCAAATGGAAGTTAATAACATTAACCAACTATTCTGCTGCAATATATCATGTAAAAGTGTCTTATACGGTTAAGAACTTTAGCAGATTCGAGGGGAGGATCAGAGCTTCTGGCAGCGACGAACGGTTCTTTTGAAGATCGACCACCCCGGGATTTTGCTTCATTTAGTCCTTTGATGTTATAACAAGCAACCCCAACGCGCCAATTAGAATATACTGAACAAAAGAAACAGAAGCGTTTAATTTGTGATTTGACTAAAATCATTTGTGTCTGCACGTTTAATAATAACATTTTCGGAGGAGAAACAAACCTTAATAATAGGCTTTTCAGTCATGATAATTGTCACCCACCCAACATAAGGTAAAAACCTGAAAATGATAACAGACTGAGCAAAGTGCGATAACAACATGAAAATGGTAATCACTTGACTTCTATTTTCTTTTTAAGAAGACGAGGGAAAAAAGGGTAAGAATAAAGACGACAGAATTAGTCAATTAGGTATGGCTTAATTCGTTTCACTAATCACTTTGGGTGGCTTCGTTATGAATACAGTGAACGAAGCAATTAAGCTTCAAGACTATCACTTCAAATACCGATCCAGCAACAAAATATGATAGTTTACCCATGTTCCATAGAACAGAGGCAATAACTCTTTTTGTTAATGGGAAACAAAAAAAATGAGGCAATGGTAGAGTTCTTACCCTACAGCTCTGCCCATGATCTGATGCCGTTGTAGCCACAGCTGACCGTGAGCATAAAGAAGCCTGTCGTCCCCATAATTGTTATCTCCTGAGGAAACAACAGATAGATAAGGGGTGAACATTTGAGTGAAAAAGGCGTGTAGCAAAACATAAATCAGACAGCATGTTTGAAACAGCAGAAGTACTGAGGTACACAACAACAACAACAACAACAAAGCCTTTTCCCACTAAGTGGGGTCGGCTATATGAATCCTAGAACGCCATTGCGCTCGGTTTTGTGTCATGTCCTCCGTTAGATCCAAGTACTCTAAGTCTTTTCTTAGAGTCTCTTCCAAAGTTTTCCTAGGTCTTCCTCTACCCCTTCGGCCCTGAACCTCTGTCCCGTAGTCACATCTTCGAACCGGAGCGTCAGTCGGCCTTCTTTGCACATGTCCAAATCACCGGAGCCGATTTTCTCTCATCTTTCCTACAATTTCGGCTACTCCTACTTTACCTCGGATATCCTCATTCCCAATCTTATCCTTTCTCGTGTGCCCACACATCCCACGAAGCATCCTCATCTCCGCTACACCCATTTTGTGTACGTGTTGATGCTTCACCGCCCAACATTCTGTGCCATACAACATCGCTGGCCTTATTGCCGTCCTATAAAATTTTCCCTTGAGCTTCAGTGGCCTACGACGGTCACACAACACGCCGGATGCACTCTTACACTTCATCCATCCAGCTCGTATTCTATGGTTGAGATCTCCATCTAATTCTCCGTTCTCTTGCAAGATAGATCCTAGGTAGCGAAAACGGTCGCTTTTTGTGATCTTCGCTAGATTGCTCCGGTCATTAGTGTGGATAAGTATATAAATGGATAGAGATAGGAAAGCAAACACAAGATGTACGTGGTTCACCCAGATTGGCTACGTCCACGGAATAGAAGAGTTCTCATTAATTGTGAAGGGTTTACACAAGTACATAGGTTCAAGCTCTCCTTTAGTGAGTACAAGTGAATGATTTAGTACAAATGACATTAGGAAATATTGTGGGAGAATGATCTCGTAATCACGAAACTTCTAAGTATCGGAGTGTGGTGTCGTCTTGACTTGCCTTATCTGTCTCATAGGTAGATGTGGCATCTTCTCTGGAAGTACTCTTCCTCCATCCAGGGGTGGTATCTTTAACTGGTGGAGATGCACAAGGTAATGTATCAATTTCACTTGAAGCTTACTTGTAGTTTCAGGCTTGGTCAAGCGCGATACAAACCATGTAGTAGGAGTCCCCCAAGTCGCCGAGCTAGGGGGTCTGCTGAAAGAGGTGACAGACAAGGTAAGCAATCAGAGCTCCGACTGATTGTTCACCTTCTCCCCATCTTGCAGCAGCATGAAGGATAAAGAGAAGAAAAATGAGAAGAGATGATATGAGATACTTTTGCTTTTGAAGAAGTAACTTTCCACAGGCTTATTCTTGAACTGAGCTGGAGGGTTTTCTGGTTTCCTCCAGAGTATAAGGCCGACTGAAGAATTTGAGGGTCAAAACAAGTCCATCAAATCTAGAGTACGTTCCACCCTGCTGATATGGGATACTTTTGCTTTTGACAGAGTAATGGATGTATCGGCACGTGTGCTGTTACGCTTGTCTCCACATGCTTCCTTGTATCCTTCGCACTTGCCCTATCTGTTCCTCAAGCAGATGCGGAATCTTCCCTGGAAACATAAGATGTTGAAGATGAGTACTCGAGAGCAATGCCAGGTAAGTAATCAGGTAAGGGGTTCCAGGCAGTCAGTTCCTGGCTGGAAGCTTGATTCCAAGTGCTGACTGATTGCTCTCTTTCTCCTTGTCTTGCAGGTAAAAACAAGGCCAAAGGAAAAGACAGGGAAAAAGCATGATATGGGATACTCTTGCTTTTAACCCTGATGATATGAGATATTCTTGCTCTAGTATAGCTTGTTTGCAGAGGTATTATCGGGGGGAAAGAAAGCTGAATATTTCGAAAGGCTTCGTTGGGAGTGCCCTCTCAGATATGATGAAGGGTTGAGCATTTTTGCAGGTCTGCCTGTCCGTTGGGGATGGAGGTCGACATATATAGGAGTCTCCCTAACAACAAGTAGTAATGCTATTCCTTTACCCTGCTTGGTCATAGCACGGTAGTGGGAGCTGCCAGTTTCACATGTTTTAACTCTGTCAGAGCACTTTGAAAAAGTGGTCTGTGGTATCTGGCTCTCGAGATTCGGAGAACGATGCCTCTTCGATTTTTGAGAAAGCAATCATGCTGGGGGTCTGGCTCTCGAGATTCGGAGAGCAGTGTCTCTTCGATTTTTGAGGAAGTAATCATGTTGGGAGTCTGGCTCTCGAGATTCGGAGGGCGGTGCCTCTTCGATTTTGGAGCAAGCAATCTTGTTGGGAGTGTTGTCTCGAATGTGAGTAAAGGTTGGGCATGTTTGCTAGTCTACCTTGCCACGAAGCACAAAGGTTGACACACAGGGACTTTCCAATTATCCAGCAATGGTACTGTTCCTTTACCCTCTCTTCGATTTTGAGAAAGTAGTCATGTTGGGAGTCTGGCTCTCGAGATTCGGAGGACGGTGCCTCTTCGATTTTGGAGCAAGCAATCTTGTTGGGAGTGTTTTCTCGAATGTGAGTAAAGGTTGGGCATGTTTGCTAGTCTACCTTGCCACGAAGCACAGAGGTTGACACACAGGGACTTTCCAATTATCCAGCAGTGGTACTGTTCCTTTACCCTTGTGGGTAATAATATGGTAGCTAGACCTTCAAAATTTATGTGTCTAAACTTTGTTAGTGCTGTTTCTTTGCTATTCTTTTACCTTTCTTGGTCAGAGCGATGTAGTGGGAGCTGCAAGCTTCACGTGCTCAACTTTGGCAGAGAACTTTGGCAAAGTTATCTGTGGTACCCATGAGCTATTGTTGCGTGTGGGAAGTGGGTGATTGAACAGTAAGATTCATGTGCTTTCTACTTCACCAGAAGTCTTCGACAGAATGCCCATAATTTCTGCAAAGCTGAGTGTGCGTGTGACAGGTGCTGACAAGGCTAGAAAAGTAGGTGCCTCTTCGATTTCTGAGATCGGCCCTCGTGGTCTCTGAGCAGCCCAGCTTTTGAGAAAGCGAGCGCCTCTTCGATTGATTCGGAGAACGATGCCTCATCGATTTTTGAGAAAGCAATCATGCTGGGGGTCTGGCTCTCGAAGATTCGGGGAGCAGTGTCTCTTCGATTTTTGAGAAAGTAATCATGTTGGGAGTCTGGCTCTCGAGATTCGGAGGGCGGTGCCTCTTCGATTTTGGAGCAAGCAATCTTGTTGGGAGTGTTTTCTCGAATGTGAGTAAAGGTTGGGCATGTTTGCTAGTCTACCTTGCCACGAAGCACAGAGGTTGACACACAGGGACTTTCCAATTATCCAGCAATGGTACTGTTCCTTTACCCTCTCTTCGATTTTTAAGAAAGTAGTCATGTTGGGAGTCTGGCTCTCGAGATTCGGAGGACGGTGCCTCTTCGATTTTGGAGCAAGCAATCTTATTGGGAGTGTTTTCTCGAATGTGAGTAAAGGTTGGGCATGTTTGCTAGTCTACCTTGCCACGAAGCACAGAGGTTGACACACAGGGACTTTCCAATTATCCAGCAGTGGTACTGTTCCTTTACCCTTGTGGGTAATAATATGGTAGCTAGACCTTCAAAATTTATGGGTCTAAACTTTGTTAGTGCTGTTTCTTTGCTATTCTTTTACCCTTCTTGGTCAGAGCGATGTAGTGGGAGCTGCAAGCTTCACGTGCTCAACTTTGGCAGAGAACTTTGGCAAAGTTATCTGTGGTACCCATGAGCTATTGTTGCGTGTGGGAAGTGGGTGATTGAACAGTAAGATTCATGTGTTTTCTACTTCCCCAGAAGTCTTCGACAGAATGCCCATAATTTCCGCAAAGCTGAGTGTGCGTGTGACAGGTGCTGACAAGGCTGGAAAAGTAGGTGCCTCTTCGATTTCTGAGATCGGCCCTCGTGGTCTCTGGGGAGCCCAGCTTTTGAGAAAGCGAGCGCCTCTTCGATTTCTGAGATCGGCCTTCGTGGTCTTTGAGCAGCCCAACTTTTGAGAAAGCAAACGCCTCTTCGATTTCTGAGATCAACCCTCGTGATCTCTAAGCAGCCCAGCTTTTGAGAAAGCAAACGCCTCTTCGATTTCTGAGCAGGCGCCTCTTCGATTTCTGAAGCTCCGTCGAGTGCAGATTTTTTATAGGGGCTGGCATTAAGTTCCAAAGCACACTTGAATCTCCACCAGTAGAAGCTTCATTCTTGCACTTCTAAGATCTTGATTTGTCCGACCTCTTCTCTCTTCAACACCTTTGAAAATGTCTGGCCCCTCCGACCGTCGTTTTGACTTGAACCTTGTTGAAGAGGCAGCCCCGCCTTCTCCAGACAACATATGGCGCCCATCCTTCGTCTCCCCTACTGGTCCTCTTACCGTTGGGGATTCCGTGATGAAGAATGATATGACCGCTGCGGTGGTGGCCAGGAACCTTCTCACTCCCAAAGATAACAGACTACTTTCCAAACGGTCTGATGAGTTAGCTGTTAAGGATTCGCTGGCTCTCAGTGTTCAGTGTGCAGGTTCTGTGTCTAATATGGCCCAACGCCTATTTGCTCGAACCCGCCAAGTTGAATCATTGGCGGCTGAAGTGATGAGTCTCAAACAGGAGATTAGAGGGCTCAAGCATGAGAATAAACAGTTGCACCGGCTCGCACATGACTATGCTACAAACATGAAGAGGAAGCTTGACCAGATGAAGGAAACTGATGGTCAGGTTTTACTTGATCATCAGAGATTTGTGGGTTTGTTCCAAAAGGCATTTATTGCCTTCGTCTTCTGGGGCTGTACCGCGTAATGAAGCTCCAAATGATCAACCTCTGATGCCTCCTCCTTCTAGGGTTCTGTCCAGTACTGAGGCTCCAAATGATCCCCCTCCGGTGCCTTCTCTTTCTGGGGCTCTACCGACTGCTGAGACTTCTCCTAAGCAACCTTTGTGAAGGCTCCCTCTTGTGTGTTTATTTTGACTCATGTATATGTACATATTTGTAGCTTATCGGGGATATCAATAAATAAGCTTTCCTTCATTTCAACGTATTGTGTTAAATACACCAAAGCCTTCTTCGCTAAGTTCTTTGAATTTTCTTTTGTTGAAGCTTGTATGTTGAAGCTTTCTGAGTGGAGCATGTAGGTTGGGGTAGTGTTCCCTTAATTTCCCGAGTGAGGAAAACTTCTCGGTTGGAGACTTGGAAAATCCAAGTCACTGAGTGGGATCGGCTATATGAATCTTAGAACGCCATTGTGCTCGATCCTGTGTCATGTCCTTCGTTAGATCCAAGTACTCTAAGTCTTTTCTTAGAGTCTCTTCCAAAGTTTTCCTAGGTCTTCCTCTACCCCTTCGGCCCTGAACCTCTGTCCCATAGTCGCATCTTCTAATCGGAGCGTCAGTAGGCCTTCTTTGCACATGTCCAAACCACCGTAACCGATTTTCTCTCATCTTTCCTTCAATTTCGGCTACTCCTACTTTACCCCGGATATCCTCATTCCTAATCTTATCCTTTCTCGTGTGCCCACACATCCAACGAAGCATCCTCATCTCCGCTACACCCATTTTGTGTACGTGTTGATGTTTCACCGCCCAACATTCTGTGCCATACAGCATCGCCGGCCTTATTGCCGTCCTATATAAAATTTTCCCTTGAGCTTCAGTGGCATACGGCGGTCACACAACACGCCGGATGCACTCTTCCACTTCATCCATCCAGCTTGTATTCTATGGTTGAGATCTCCATCTAATTCTCCGTTCTTTTGCAAGATAGATCCTAGGTAACGAAAACGGTCGCTCTTTGGTATTTCTTGATCTCCGATCCTCACCCCTAACTCGTTTTGGCCTCCATTTGCACTGAACTTGCACTCCATATATTCTGTCTTTGATCGGCTTAGGCGAAGACCTTTAGATTCCAACACTTCTCTCCAAAGGTTAAGCTTTGCATTTACCCCTTCCTGAGTTTCATCTATCAACACTATATCGTCTGCGAAAAGCATACACCAAGGAATATCATCTTGAATATGTCCTGTTAACTCATCCATTACCAACGCAAAAAGGTAAGGACTTAAGGATGAGCCTTGATGTAATCCTACAGTTATGGGAAAGCTTTCGGTTTGTCCTTCATGAGTTCTTACGGCAGTCTTTGCTCCTTCATACATATCCTTTATAGCTTGGATATATGCTACTCGTACTCCTTTCTTCTCTAAAATCCTCCAAAGAATGTCTCTTGGGACCCTATCATACGCTTTTTCCAAATCTATATAAAGACCATGTGTAAATCCTTTTTCCCATCTCTATATCTTTCCATCAATCTTCGTAAGAGATAGATTGCCTCCATGGTTGAGCGCCCTGGCATGAACCCGAATTGGTTGTCCGAAACCCGTGTCTCTTGCCTCAATCTATGCTCAATGACTCTCTCCCAGAGCTTCATTGTATGACTCATTAGCTTAATACCCCTATAGTTCATGCAATTTTGTACGTCGCCCTTATTCTTGTAGATAGGCACCAAAGTGCTCGTTCGCCACTCATTTGGCATCTTCTTCGTTTTCAAAATCCTATTGAAAAGGTCAGTGAGCCATGTTATACCTGTCTCTCCCAAAAACTTTCCACACTTCGATTGGTATATCGTCTGGGCCTATTGCTTTTTTATGCTTCATCTTCTTCAAAGCTACAACCACTTCTTCCTTCCGGATTCGACGATAAAAAGAGTAGTTTCTACACTCTTCTGAGTTACTCAACTCCCCTAAAGAAGCACTCATTTCATGTCCTTCATTGAAAAGATTATGAAAATAACCTCTCCATCTGTCTTTAACCGCGTTCTCTGTAGCAAGAACCTTTCCATCCTCATCCTTGATGCACCTCACTTGGTTTAGGTCCCTTGTCTTCTTTTCCCTTGCTCTAGATAGTTTATAGATATCCAACTCTCCTTCTTTGGTATCTAGTCGTTTATACATATCGTCGTAAGCCGCTAACTTAGCTTCTCTGACAGCTTTCTTCGCCTCTTGCTTCGCTTTTCTATACCTTTCACCATTTTCATCGGTCCTCTCCTTGTATAAGGCTTTACAACATTCCTTCTTAGCCTTCACCTTTGTTTGTACCTCCTCATTCCACCACCAAGATTCCTTTTGGTGTGGGGCAAAGCCCTTGGACTCTCCTAATACCTCTTTTGCTACTTTTCGGATACAACTAGCCATGGAATCCCACATTTGGCTAGCTTCCCCCTCTCTATCCCACACACATTGGGTGATTACCTTCTCTTTGAAAATGGCTTGTTTTTCTTCTTTTAGATTCCACCATCTAGTCCTTGGGCACTTCCAAGTCTTGTTCTTTTGTCTTACTCTTTTGATATGTACATCCATCACCAACAAGCGATGTTGATTAGCCACGCTCTCTCCTGGTATAACTTTGCAATCCTTACAAGTTATACGATCCCCTTTCCTCATTAGAAGAAAATCTATTTGTGTTTTTGACGACCCACTCTTGTAGGTGATCACATGTTCTTCTCTCTTCTTAAAGAAGGTGTTGGCTAAGAAGAGATCATATGCCATTGCAAAATCCAAGATAGCTTCCCCATCCTCGTTTCTCTCCCCAAAACCATGGCCACCATGAAAACCTCCATAGTTGCCTGTCTCCCTGCCCACGTGTCCATTTAAATCTCCTCCTATAAATAACTTCTCCGTCTGAGCAATTCCTTGCACCAAGTCTCCAAGATCTTCCCAAAATTTCTCCTTCGAACTCGTATCCAACCCTACTTGAGGTGCGTACGCACTAATCACATTGATAAGTTCTTGTCCTATTACAATCTTGATTGCCATGATTCTATCTCCTACCCTCTTGACATCTACAACATCTTGTGTACCAAGGTCTTGTCCACGATGATGCCAACACCGTTTCTCGTTCTATTTGTGCCCGAATACCAAAGTTTAAACCCTGAGTTTTCTAGATCCTTTGCCTTACTACCAACCCACTTAGTTTCTTGTAGGCACATAATATTTATCCTTCTCCTCACCATAACTTCCACTACTTCCATAGATTTTCCCGTTAAGGTTCCTATATTCCACGTTCCTAAACGCATTTTGCTCTCTTGAACTCTACCCTTCTGTCCTAGCTTCTTCACCCTCCCCCGTGGATCAAAGTACTTCTTTTGTGTGTCCCGGGTAAAGTTGATAGGAGCATATGCTCCCAAACAACTTTGAGTGGAGTCGTTCGAAAAGAAGTTTCTATGGCCCCCTTGCTCATTTAACACTGCATCCGGGTGCCGATGGAGATACAGCGACCCTTGCTCACTTATCACTGTGCTCGGGCCACACAGCGCGCCACTTACGGGTGACGCCCTAGCTTTAGCGTGATTTTGTTCTGGATTCATTTTCATAAGGATTCGACGTGATCATGGAGTGCCGGCTGTCGACTACCTGACGCCCTCCCCCTCCTCCTTTATCCGGGCTTGGGACCGGCCATGTAAGACATAGGCGGAGTTAGCAGAAGTACTGAGGTAAAAGAAAAAAATATGAATAGTTTGTGATACATCTTTAAAGAGTTTTAATTATCAAGACTTTCAAGGATTATATCACACGTAACAAGTATTTACATCTATTCAAGAAATTGGCACCTTTTGTTAGGACATCAACTTCTCCAGTATCTTTTCGTTCATGAACCTGCAAAATCATTGATCAACACTGTTTACTGGACCGCAGATGGTTATAATCAACTGATTGTGGGAAAAAGCAAGTGGGGTCAATCTGGGAACCATCTAATAGACTAACTCTACATCTGGTGTGCATGTACATCTGGTCCTTTTGCAGAAATCTCAACTTAACCTAATTAGGTCCAAGGTGTATGCCATGAAAGACTGATACTATGGCTATCATTTAAACATAATGCAGTAAACAAAAAGTCCGCTCTTTGAGTTAATATTGATGCTTTTGATCGTACAACATGTTTCCTTGAGATATAGAGTTGTATATTTTCTGCCAAATTCATTATTCCATTCACGAAACTGAAAAGTACGACACCTTTTATTTCAAAAGCCAAAAGTCAACATGATTTAGCAATGTCAAAAAGTGTATTATTTACCTTAATGACACGATGGACAATTGGAATTTCACGGCCCTGGATAAAACATACACAGGAAAGTAGAGCATATTAGTATTTGCTTCTTGAAAAAGGAGAAAACAAAACCATTAAATAGATAGAGACACTCCATTATTTTCTATCTTAGGTTTATTGATAACACACATGCTTAATCAATATCAAAGAGAAAAGATACAAAAACTAGCACTGACATATTCATAGTTAAAAGATTGGGATCAAAATTGTTTGAAAGAAGAAATTCCAAAATTTGTGTACATAACTGGTTGCTTGCTTACCAAGCCATCCTGGCAAGCTCCTCCATGACCAAAACTGAAAATTGTCTGCCCCTTACACAAATACTTAAGAGGCTCATGGGTCCTCAGAGATCCATAACTGCTATTTCAGTTTTTACATGCTAAAATTTCTGGTTGCATAAGCAAAGTTCAAAAACTAAGGTTGAGTACATGCTAACAAAACTGGAAAACAAGCTGCAGATGGTTTACATGCCAGATGATGGATTTTCTTGTTTTATTTGAAAGAAGAGGAAGTGAGTGTTGTCATCGTCATTCATAAACAGATGAGGCAGAACAATATCGAAAGTCACCATGAAATAGAGCCTTACTAGTATAATATCTATCATTATTGCACCCCCACAATAAATTAAGTAAAAAATTGATATGCCGATGAATCAAATATAACAAGGAAAGAAATCAGAATGAATATTCAAGCAAGCCTGATACTAAGTGGGCATAAAAAGCTGTAATTACAATAAAACAGAGTAACGCCAAGTTAAAACAAAATCAACAAAAGGAACTTACATCAATATTAAAAACAACAATTTCTCCTGCACGAATGGGTTCTTTACTCATGTGCAAAAACAAAATGTCCCCCTGCAAAGCATATGAGTTAGTACCATTGGTTAAGCAGCACAAGTAACTTAAGTAACATAGATATAAAATGATAAACCACATTGCTGCAACGATGAATCCAGGGACAACAAAGAGGAGTATCACCGATCGCTTCCTCAAAAATGGATACCATAAAATTCGCTTCCTCAAATATGGATACCATAAAATAAGATGAATCCAGATATACAACTACCGGTGATCAAAATATTATTTGGTACCAAACCATTGAAACATTCAAGCATTATACTATCTCACCCTCTTGAAACCAGGTTCCATACTTCCAGACAAAACAACAACAACAGGAGACTCACTGCCGGTAACACACATTAACGCCTTCCATATTATAAGCGCAGATGTGACAATCATACCTGAAACAGAAATCACAAAATCCAACTGATCATTCTTCCAAAATCCAACTCTAATAACAGAGTGAGACTATCAGATATAAACTACTGAGTCATAAGAACTTGAAAACATAAATTAAAAACAAAATTGAAGAAACCACAATAATTGGCATTAAGTAATCAATAAACCCAAAAATAATTCATTCCCAACAGTGATTATTAAGACATACCATTTAATTATGAATAATCTCAGTAAAGTGTCAAGCTTTACTCTCCTAAACCCCAGAAGACAAAACAAATCAGAGGTAAACATTGGAAACATCGCAATTTGATTGCCACCCACATTTTCTCATCACCCAAACAGATAATAGGAAGTATGAATTCCGAATCATAAGACCTAGAACGAGAAAACGCTAAAACGAGAGAGATGGGGGGGGTTTTAAGGGTTGACGAACCGAGACTGACGGCCTGAGTGAGGACCTGCCGAATCTGCAGGGATTTGATGGAGTCTACGCTCTCACCGATCCAACCCATTCCTTCTCTCTCTTTTGCCTTTTACCCCCTTCGTCGCCGTCTTGTCAATTTTGCTTGTCTGAGAGAGCTACTGCAACTAGACCGGGCTAAAAGGGCCGTTTCTTCGTATCCATAAACTTAGAATTTAATAAGCCGTTTCTTTTACATTGTATGAAAGAATTAAATTTAGAATTTTAACAAATATCAGAATTTATAAATTAATATATATCAATTTCTTTGTTTGAATTCATAAATAAATAAATTTAGAATGTTCGCGTGGGAAGAGAATTTGGAATTCGAAACCTCTAATTTCCAAATTTAAATTTTATCTAAATATGTGTCATTTCCAATTTCTATAAATGAAAGTTTAAAAATACAAATTATGTATTTAAATTCTATTATTCTTTTAGGTTAATCAAATAAGCACAAATCCTAAAAAATAAAATTTCGTCATTTTAATTTCATTAATTTTAAAATTCCTTAATAATCTTAAATTTTCTCATCCAAACAAAGTGTTAATCTTTTTGTTCCTTTTCAATCTTTTTCTCAAGTTATTTTTGTTCTGCACTAAGATAAAATTTTCAATTTATTTTTCAAAGATTTGAACCAATAGGGATGTCATATCAGCAAAATGATGTAGCAAAACACGCGAGTGCCTTCTACACTCTTTCTAGTTGGGCGGGATGCCATATCACCATATCACCATATCACCAATAGAGATGTCATAGCGTTCTTCAATTTATATAAACTAAAATTTTAAGCAATTTATCATATTAATTTTTTAAAACGATAGAGATGTCATAGCATTCTTCAATTTATATAAACTACAATTTTAAGCAATTTATCATATTAATTTTTTTAAACGAACTTAATTTTTTTATCTATTTTAATACAGATGTCCCCATAGATTGTTCTGATCCCAACTCCTCGTGTTTGGAAAGAACTTTGGATTGCAGCGTTGTTGCCGGGAATATTATGATTTGTGACAGTGGTATTAGTCCCAGAGTGCAGGAAGGACAGGTGGGGAAAGATGCAGGAGCCATTGGTATGATTTTGGCAAACACATCTACAGATGGAGAACAAACGTTTCTGTTTTAACACTTCATACAATCGTCACTGATGTCGGCCCTGCGGTTTCGAATTACCACGCCATAATTTCGCCATTCAAAACCTTCATTACGAAATTCCTGCGGGCGGTTCCGGAATTCAGAGGGTTGGTGCGAGGAGGATAGAGTGTGGCTGGGCACTGGGCCGGGCCCAAATTTGGAGGAACCGGATCCTACCCGTTTCAATAGGTAACGGGGCGGGCAGGACCAGGTAGAGAAATTTTGAGTGTGGGAACCAAACCTACCGGCCCATTTCAAACGGGCTGGTTTGGGACGGGCCCACGGGTCCAATTACCTTTTCTTTTCTTTTTTTCGGTTTTGGGCATACTGCCCCTGCCATTGTCTTTTTTTCATTCTCCTCTTCACATCATCTTCACATCTCCAACAAAACTCACACAATCAATTTGCTATTTAAATGCTAATTCACAGTAACAAACTATTTACTTTAGCAATGGAAACCATCTCGCAACCTCAAAGTTAATCATATACCGCAAAAAAATCCTTTTGCAAATGGCGGTAATACATCAAAATAGATGTGTCATTGTAGTTCTGAAAATGAATAGAAATCCATGCCAAGATGCAGAAAATACTAATTAAATCCTTTTGCAAACAGCATGATTTTCCAAAGCTAAACTAAAATAAAAACCAAAACCAAATAAATCCATTAAATTTTGAAATTATATCCCTAAATTCAGTAACCCAGAAATTTCAAAAATCCTAATTCAAAAGTCCTAAATCCCTAAACTCAGAAACCCAGAAACCCAGATATATATATTTTACCATAAACTACACCAGAGTCTGATTGAGATCCACCAAGTGTAGCACCACCACCACCTGCAATGGCGAAATCGAGCGCAGACAACCAGGAGCTTCGGTGGGCCTGCGAGGCTGCCATCGAAGGCACCAAGCAGAGCGTTGTCATGTTGATCCGCGTGGCCAAGAGCCTTGCAATCCGAGGTATAACACACATGCTCGGCCGCGATGGAGCTGGGATAGGACTGTGGGAGCAAGTTAGGTTTTGGGGGCTTGTGTAGAGAAAGGTTTTGGGAGAGAGTTAGGTTCTAAGTGAAATGAGATGAGCCCTTGAGCTCAAACCCAAATAAGATAAGATCGAGGCCTATTTTTCCATGCTAGAAACAGGCCGGGCTGGGGGTCCGTTCCCTCATATTTTAGGATCCGCCCTGCCCCGCCCCGCTAATTCTGTATACCCCAACCGCCCCGCTCCATTTTGTGTTTAGAAATTTTGGACCCGCCCGCGGTTCCTATACCCATTTGACCACCCCTAGGATAGAGTGCACAGGGTGAGAAGCCTTATTGTTGTAGTGTGGCTACCTCCACTGTGAATCATGCACTGGAGTTTTTTTCTTTTTCTTTTTGGCATGATTTAGTTTCAATATGTGCTTTATTATGCTTTTGAATAAACAAAATTTTGTGTAATAAACAAAATTTTTTGTAATAAACAAATTTTTAATGTAAAGTAATGCATTTGATATTTTAGATGCATACGTAGTGATGGAGCCAGTATAAGGTCATTGGTTGTTTTTTATCCCAACAACTTCAAAAAACTCATGTATATTTGTTTGTGTATTGTATTTAACCTCTATAAACAGTTAAGGCAAACTAATTTACAACTTTATCCTCCTACTTCTTCTATTTTCTTATGTCATATTTGTCTTTCTTTTCTTTCTTCTTGCTGGCAACTCTATTGTGTGCACTATATGCTTGATGAAATACCTTAGTTGACAAGCCTTGACAATCTTCAACATTACTCCACAATATCATCCACCGTCGACAAGTCTCTAAAAATAATAGTTATCGTTGTCGACATATGTTAGCATAAGCTTTAGGCATATGTTGGCAGGAATGGTGTGGGACCATGATTTTCTAGGCCCGAGACATGTGGCACCTTAGGTGGCAAGAAATACCAGAATGCCCATATCACATAATCGGAGTAGCCGTAGTTAGATTTGGAGTAGCCCTAGTCAGATTCAGGCCAGCCTTAGATTTGGAGTAGCCCTAGTCAGATTCGAACCAGCCTTAGTCATTTCTGGACTAGCCTGGGTATTTATCGGGATACGATCATTTCCCAATGCCCGACCATAGGCTATCCGTCAAGGATGGTTGCTCCATTCTTTCATAGAACTACACCCGTGGTTTGATTCTCCTTCCTGGAGATATGTAGGCAATCATTTCCGGATTCAACCGCACCCCCTGATCAACCGTATTCTCCCCTCGTTGGTGATCATGAGCATTTTCAATTTGGTTCTCGCCTCCGTCTGCGGATGTGTTTGAATTTGGTTCTAACAATTGGTGCTTTCATTTAGAGTGAATTTATATTTTCCCGTATAAGTCACTCTATCAATATGTGAATCTACTTGGGGTAAAAAGCAATCAAATGAAGGAATTTTGGAGTAATTCTAATTGTAGTGGATTTATGAGTGTCTCAAGATGATTGTATCAAAATTCCTGAATTTAATTCCAAGCCATTTAAACTTGGCGAAGAAAAGAAGACCCAGCGCACAGCTTTTCCAATTTGACGTTTTTGGACGTTTTGGGAATTTTGAAGGCCAAGATGGCATATTTCGAGGAAGGTTCCTTCTCGGGATTTGTTGAGGCATCTTAAACTATATAAAATTAAAAATAAATAAATAAATAAGACCTTTTTGAACCAAATCGGAGTTGATTTAATAGTAAAAATCATACCCATGAGCGAAAACAAAAATAAGAACAATGACACAATTACTTGATGATCAATTGAAGAATCACAACCCCCAACTCCATACGATGTGAAAAAGAGTTTTATCGTAAGGCCAGATTTTTCCAAAGGAACACAAATAAGGAGGGTATCTGATACTTTTATGTATTTTGTTCTAGTATCTCATTGATTTGAAAAGTTTAAACCACTTTACCATAAAACAAGGAACACAATTTGACTATTTGTTATCGTTTTGCGAAAGGGGATATGTGCAGATTGCACATCCTTTCTTTCTTTTAGATCTTGTGGCGTTTGACTAACTCAGTCCAACACCATCTTGGTGGAGCCGAGCCAATAACTCTGACAACGATACAACCTTCTTGACGAGCATGGCAAAATCTCAACATGGGAAGAAGTACGTTGGGGGTGAGTCATCCCTAGGAAAGACATCAAGGTTAACTCCAGAATTTCATCTCAAGTTCCATCAGGTTCCTAACTCATATATGAACCATGATTGTTCTATAAACGCTGCTTAGCGATCATGCTGCAACACGAAGATTTATAAAAAATAGATGATGACCCCAAGACTAAGGAGAAAAACGTATCCAAGGAAATTCGCCCAAGACAAACTTGGTTCACAAGAACTCTCTAGCTAGGAAAGCAAAGACATATTTAGCTACATGTTGACTAACACCATATCGCAAAGTTCGACTCGTAGAGCTTTCACCTAAAGTCTACATGCAACTCAGTTTGAGTCTGTCAACACTCTGACTGGGCAAGTCCTCACGCAAAGCTCTGGAGGCAATGTAATCGTGCCTAAAACTCATTCCCCATGCCTAAATCATTTTCAACGAAAAATTGGTTTCCCGGATGAACTTCAACACAAAGCTTGTTGGAGACGAAACCAGAGACTCCCAAGATCATTGTATCAAATTTTAGAATTTTGTACAAAAGTCAATCTTTCTATTTTTATGTACGAAGATAGTCAAAGATGCATTCCCGCCAGAAATGTGTAGCTGTGGGAAAATGAAGATCTCAAGGACTTCTAAATTTTTCCAAGTGACATACATATAAGCTTGGAAAGATAAGAAGTCGAGCTACAATATTCTTATTGTTGGTATATGGTCCAGCCCATGATCAATGTTCTAGATTATTCTAGTAAGCAAGTGAGGTGGCTAGAGCATGCTAGACAATTCTAGCATGTTATTAAGTTGATGGAAGAAGCTAGAGAGTACTAGCTTCCTTGGTTGTAAATGGAAAGATCTAGAAGCTACAATGTTGTGGCTAGTCTAGAATTATCTATGTTAGAGGTTTGAAGAATACACTAGAAACTA